GTGCTGACGGTCGGAGATATGCTACTTAACGCTTCTGAAGAATGTATTTGGTCTAAGGACGGAATAATATATTTAGTGTGGAAGGGAGAAAATAACATAGAATGACCACTCCTGTATGACTGAGTTATGCCATTATCATCAAGGGTTCCTGCATCAACCATTTGTGGACTCTTCTATGTGTTAAGTGCTGAATACAAATGTTCCTAGTTATCGTATACTCGGTTTCGAGGATCTTGCGGTTGAGAACCAACGGTATATGGTCGGTTATGTATTTTTTTCCACTAATTCGACCGCTGGCTGTTTCGCATCTACTACGACTTGGTGTTTCACTGGCAGAAATTTTAATTGTATCACCTGGGTTGTCACCAGCAAAACCGTTCATGAAGTTCAAGAGATTGGTCGAGTTTATCAGTGGTGGTATATTTGTAAAGTCTGAGATTCTATCAGGATCATGCTTGATTTTATGATCTTTAGGATTACGATACGTTTGGTATCTTGATGTTAGTGATAACTTGCTTCTTCCCCCTTCTCTGACATAGTGGCTCATCCGAAAGAATCTTAACATCTCTGGAAACCTGTTTTTTTTTCTGATGGTATTCGAGAAACCCAGAAACCCAATCACATCTACAGACGTGTTGAATTTAGACACCATCGGTAGACGCATATCAGGGTGACATTTTTGGCCTTGTGTTTAGACATGGTATGTGTGTCATATTACTGGCTTTAAGCAACTTAGCCTTGATAGTTTTTACGATGCGTGTGCCTGCACATAAAACACGAATGGGTTTCCGGATCGTCTTATTCTTTCAAACACCTCTTAAGCAATGAAATCCAGGAAATTATTAGTGTCACTCATTTGATTTGAGATTTCAGTGAGGTTGGGGTTGAAAAGGTAATTAAGTATATTAGGAATGTACATGTGAACTTCTAGCTCTCTTATGTCATCCATACGGTTGCAGTGACCGTTTTCATCATTATTTATTAAGAGAGTCTTGAAGATGTATAGAATGCCAAGAACTGGCTCAGGCTAGTCTGTTTCTGGGTGAATGGAGTAGCACGAGTCGTTGAAACTTCTTGAAATTTTGTCGGTGGCACTTCTAAATAGTGTTATTTTTCTATGTTTGGCTGGATGCCTAAAAACAGGAGCTTGCAAAATTTTTAGAGGCATAATTGGAAAGTGATTAGTAGCAGACTAGTTAAAGAGTGTTGAAATAGAAGTAGATAGACACAGGTTCAAGCAGAGGGTGCAAGGTAATCTGAAAATCAAGACTTATGTTTGAGATAGATGTGAGGATATATTAAGCATTAGTAATAACAACAAATACAAAAGGGGAAATAAGCACAGACGAAAGTATTATATTTAGAACTCACAATCAGGCACATATCAAGTACAAAAGAATAATTAGCTCGTAAAAACACAATACACCAATTCGAAAGGTAGTACCGAACTAATATCCAATAAGCTAAAGACTAGTTTGCCTTCTGATTGTAATGGTGCAAATTTTAAAGCGACTAACCAGTGTATTATTAATCAGTGCACAACCTAGGATGAGGAAATGCTTGTCACACAAAACTAACCTGCCACTAACGAGGAACGGGCAGAATATAATAACTGAAAGTAATCGGATGGATGTGCCTACTAAAAGTTATCGAAATAATCTGGTCAGATAGAAGCTGATGAGGACGACTGAAAGTATTATATTTGTTACATCACATAAAAGAATCAATACAGCATAGAAAATATCAAATAAGGCTGAGTTGCTAAATAACGTAAAAGCAGCAGATGTTATCACTATAGACATTAGCAAAGGTTTCAAGAATGTCGAGTACATTGATCTCCGTTTTAAGCTAGGTAATCATTGAGCATCTACTTTTGTGGTTTAGGAACTTTCCACTTGATTTAGAGTAAGAATGAATTCCATGTGCTCTTCTTGAAAAACAGTATTTGGCGGGATACCACAGAGCACGATACAAGAATTTTTGTTTTTCATACTCAGTGTTGACGTGATTTTAATATCATTGATTTTCATAAATGTACGAGATACTATATTACATTGAAAATTCCTTCTTATAATTGGTTTCAAGCATACGTCCGACTGTGCATGAACTACATATACTTTGAGTGAAATTTCTATTTCTATTATCTGGTCCTTGATTGTTGATGAAAATTGTTTATTTGTGTATAACTTGATCTAGTTTGCTGGTATGATTATCCTAAATTTAGTTTCGTGGTCCAATATTCAGTGCATAAGTACCATTGTAGCATCTCTTTTATTTTGTACAGAATAGCAAAGACCACTGATTTGACCACAGTTGACCTTAACCTTAGGGTCATCATATCCTGCTTCTTTAATTTACTTAGATCTCAGACAAAATCTTGCTAAAAAGAAGTTTCTGATTGAAGTAAGGTAATGTATTAGAGACGACCAGTCCTCTGGGCATATCATACCATGTCGATGTTAGCCATTTTTGACCTTTATGAGTTGTGATCAACTATAAAGCATTCGGAAATAAGCCGCCTGATACAAGAATACATTCAGCATGGTAAATATTTTGGCTAGTGTCCAATGTTTTTCCACTGATCCTACAGACGTATCCTCCTTATTTTCTTTGTCTCTGACTTCAGTTATATCGTATGTTATCGAATTATACACACTGCCAACCCACGTATATATTTGTCGACTTAATTCGCGCTGGAAAATGACAGAGTAAAATAAGTCACATTTGAGAATGAATCTTGAATACGTATATTTAATACATGTATTGATCCAGAGAGATAATGGGAGGAACGGAGTGATGCTTAGAGGAGACTGCGAATAACAACAAAAATTAATTACAAAACTAGTCTATGTTAACCCTTCCCACACCTCTCATCATCTGGTTTATTTGCAAAAACAGGCGTTATGAGCATTCTAAAGCATTTTTATCAGGCTTGCTATATACTCTCCTCTAGACTGTCCCAGAGTTCATGATCAAATTATTCTAGCTTTTCAAAATTTGCCATTAGTTTCATCATTTCACTGTGACCCAAGTTTCTCCCTCATTCTTTTAACTTTATAGAGAAAGGTTAGATTTCTTTGTTAAAATCTTATGGGCTATTTTGTGGACTTCGCGGTATTGCTCATTGTATATGAGATCCCGCAACTTCTACCTGTAAAGACCTCAGTCCATGCAATTCGTGTAACATTTGTTCTACTTCATTGAGTATCATTATGAGTTTCGAATATAACTAATTATGCAATTATAGATAGCGACTATGCACTTATGCCAACAAAATACTTATCCATTACAGTCTTAAACAACAATGGAAAGATTCAGGTAAATAATACCAAGGGAATTTACTACTAACTAAGGATGATATAGCTAGCTTCTTATATCTATATAGTAAAGTATTAACTTCTTACTGACTGAATATCTATCAATCACAGGAAACTTAATCTCATTCATCTTTCAGTTCATTATTAGTAGTGCATGAGTCATATTATTTCTAATGAACAATAACAAAGTCATACATTCTATAACTAATTATATCACAAAGTCTTAACTTCATCCACTATCCCTTATCATCTCCGCCTGGAGCCCCTACGGGGCCAATGCTAATCCCAAGCCCGGATAAAGGAGAAGGGTTGGGCATGAGGTTAGCAGCCTCATTTCATGGAAAACTAACTTGCTAAAAAAACTCTAACCAGAAAAATTGTTCGAACCACTTAAACTTCTCCCTAGGAGTCAGAAGGTCTTCATTTAGAAAGGTTATGGTGCCTCATGGTGAAAGCCAAGTTCCTACAGATGTCACGAGGCTGATGTCCCTTCGGACAACCAGAGTAACCATTTATTTAGGTACATAGAATGCTCGTACAATATGGGAGACCGGGAGAGTTTTTTATATTACTGTATTACTGCACTATTCCTTATCTTTATGACAAATTACAATAAATTAATTGGAATATTGTAGTCAAATTTTCAAAAGAAACATTGAATAATTTCAATATGAATTATATCTGAAATGATTTTATAAGGCTAAAATAAGAAAAATCCATTTTGAGTAATAAATTACATTTTACAATTAATCTGTCATTCTGTCTGTCTCTCTTTATTAACTGATATGTATGGGAATAAATATGTAAATTATGTATGCAATAAATAGAGGCAAAATTTTCACAACCATTAAGTTTCAATTAGTCTTTTGAAAGTTGTCTGTAATAATATGAAAGAAGAAAAAAAACAAAGAGGAGGGAAATTTGAATGGGGCAAACATCATATTCAAATTTCAGTTTATTAAATTATACAGTTTATGAATTACTGTATTCTGATTTACTATATCGCTTATTGAAACGGAATAGCTTATATCCTAACTAATGGAGTTTAGGATAAATAATCATATATATATATATATATATATATATATATATATATATAATTTTCGCGCCACATTAATTGTACCCATTGAAAATTATTCAATAATGTTAGAATACAATCACAATATGAAGGTATTTTTCATAGATTAACTGACATATATAGGCGAACAATATTGTTTTCGATTAGATCATCACCATGTTTCACTCTAATATACAGTAGTATTTATATGCATATATCAAATTATTAAACTAATCAAGGTAATTTATGAGTCAATGATAATAATGGAATAAATTACATAACAAAACATAATAAGTGAAAAGCACAAATCGATAGTGTGATGACAGATACACTAATTGTGATGAGAATAACAAAGACTTGAGTCAATGTTACATAATGGGAAATAGGTTAATGCTTAGAAAAAAATATAAACACTGAAATAATTGACATTAATCACAAAATTACTTATTCTAATTTACTCCTAATCTGATACAACACAAAAAGGTTTACAAAAATAAATTTAATGTAGTTTAGGATTATTTAAGTAGTAAATTTAATTTCAATGGTTAAGATCATGAGTCAGTTGAAGCTAGACCACCATGGAAAATCTGGACGCACTGGACGGCCGTTTTCCATGGTGGTCTAGCTTCAACTGACTCATGATCTTAACCATTGAAATTACTATAATATCCACAAAACCCCTTCTGATAATAAATTTAAATTTGGGAATTGACAGACAAATCTTTCACAAACGTTTTTAATTTATGATATAATGAATGAAGTAATTGAATTTCAAACACTTGATTATAATTTCCATTTTGAATAAAGACTTATTTATCAAGATGAAAATAAATTCTTTCTTTTTTTTCTAAGCAATGAAGTTGGAAATGTGACATTAGTTCGTAGATGGGGTTAACTAACGATACTAATGTGTCGTAAATAGACGGAAACTGGAATTATGAATAACTTGACACCAATTAAGTAAATAAAATAGTACTAAGCTTATGGTTTTCATGAATAGGTAATAATCAGTTTCAATTCCCTATGAAATTATGGGTTAACAAGATAAAAGTTGAAGTGGCTTTGCTTAGTTAATCAATCACCTTTGTAAACGTTATTATATAAATCTCAATGGTGTTGGAAATCAGAAGGCAATAAGAAGCGGCAACTACAGTTTATTAGCGGATATTATCAGGAGGGGTTTTATGGAGATTTTCACTAGTTGAAATCATGAGTCAATTGGAAAACAAACATGAATAACAAAGCTACAAGCACACCGGGTGAATTAGAAGCAGAGGGGCGAATGTGTGTATGAAAGCAAATACAGAGGCAAATTTCTAGTCAAATCAAATAAGGCACTATTACGCAAGACAATGCCTAATAATAGGACTCGAGTACAAAATATACTTGAGGAAGAAAATGATTCACTGAGAGATATTTAAGCCATCAACATTTAAGCTAAAGAAAGATGTGCATAGGCTGTCGTGTGATCAAGACTAAACATTTCTACATATATGATAGTGATCATAATAGTACAAAGGAATATGCGAATTGTTACTGTTCTAATAACATTGTCTGTTATGTAAGGTAATAGAAGAGCTTAACCAAAATTAACTATAATCGAAATTGATTGTAGGAGTGTTGCTATAGTGTATTTTAATCAATAATGAAATATCTAGTCAATATACTCCACAATTCCTAATAATTCCTTATTTGAATTAAGGGTTTAAACAACAATTATCTTCATAATCATAACATTATAAATAAAACCAAAATAATAAAATGAATAGAAGAAACGTCTGATTAACAATGATTAATGAATGAAATGTCAACTTCACTTGATTAATTCAATATTTTTCATTCTTAAAAGTTTCGTGGTAAAAATACTAGTGATTAAATTTTGTAAGTTACATCATTCATTGAAGTTAGGTGGAAAATCATCGAAAAATATGAAGCATAAGACAGTGGCTTCGTCGTTTTATGCGACTTATTAGCAACATATATTCACAACCCTACCAGGGAACGAACCTAGAACCTTCGACCTCGCATGCACTTCTAAAGAGATCCGTACTAGGACGAAACTACTCTCCAGTACCTACTTTTTCAATAGTTATCCAGCTAAAATCAATGAATAAAAAAGTCTATGAAAAGTCAGCAACCCCCACAAACCTCCTCTTAGTAACAGTTAGTAATAAAAAAGTACTTGCTAAAATATTGATTTAGAAAGTGAAAATGATAAATCTCTTTGTTCTATAAATGTTTTTTTAATTTCTTCTGTTTTTAGTTCATGTCCAGAACGAGTGACTAAAGCTTTTTTACCAACTGTTGTCAATAATGGTTCTAGTAGATTTTTATTCATAGTAAATCCGTTATTGTTTTTAGATGTTCCACGAATTGTTAGCTGAACACCGGTGATAAAACCATTGATATTATTATTATCATCAGTGGATTGTTTTGGTTTGCATTGTCCATGATCATGAATCTAAATGAATAGAAATAAACGAATATAGATGAATTCGTTAGATATTTTTTCTTGGTGAAATAAAAGTAGATGGATCAAGATGTTTAAATATTTACCAGATATTAAGCTAAGCATTGGACCCTAAATCTGACAACGTGTAGTAAAAGTACTAACACTCCTGATATGAATTTATTTGACTTCGGAAATAGATGGAGACAATATGTGAACACATTACCTTATATGATTTCTTTATGGTCAAATTTGTATAAATTTCACTGAGTAGTATTTATAACAAATTGTTATATCCCGACGAGAATTATGAATGGTGACTTTTGAGAACTATTTATGGACCAATGTGATACAGATATTTTCATTGTATAATTGTTAAGTAGCTAAGTTATTCATGTTCATGTTCCTCTTATTAAAAGCTATATTTTGACCTATAGAGTATTATCATACGATTTACCATTCTTGAGTTATGCTCTATCTATTGATTACAGTCTCCCACACTCGCAGTTACTTTTGGCTAGATCTCGTACAAATGTTATTTTCTATTTTATGATACTACGTGGTCTGTTTTGTTTGTATATAAACTTAGTATGTTTGAAATATATGATTCATATCGCGGAGGCTGAGACTGGTGTTCTGGACTCAACAGGAAAGGCTTGGTGGGAAGAAAGACCGATAAAGACTCTAAACTGCTCGTACGGGTTTACGCGTCATTGGTCCGGTCAACAAGTCACTGTTCTCTAATTGATGGTGTCATTACGTTATATATTAATAAGACACAAGGCTGCAAGATATAACACAAATTAATCAATGACTTATTGTTTGAACATATAATTTCATTAAATTAGAAGATCGAACTAATTGACTAATGCATATAATTACTGCATCTCACGATGTGATTACGTGGCACAGACGGTTGGAAGAAGATTAATTTCTTATGTCAATAGCATTTGAATTGATTAAGTCATGGCCCGCCATATCATATGTAATATTATATGATGGTATTCTACTACTATCCAGTATCAATTAAATGACTGTTAAGAAGAATAAATTATTATTTTAACAGCTTCATTCTGTGCCAAGATATTGGAAAATTTTAAATATTTAATTCTTTTTGAAGTGATAGAAAACATTTGCAGCTCAGATGAACGCTTTTGGTGTCGTTGAGTTCATTCAGTTAAACAGTTTAGTTACTTACTTACTTACTTACACCTGTTACTCCTCGTGAAGGAGCATAGGTCGCTCACCAGCATTCTCCATCCAACCCTGTCCTGGGCAATCCTTTCCAGCTCCTTCCAGTTGTAATTCATCCTTTTCATATCTGCTTCTATTATCCGACGTAATGTGTTCTTTGGCCTTCCTCTTTTCCGCTTCCCTTCAGGATTCCAAGTTAGAGCTTGCCTCGTGATGCAGTTTGACGATTTGCGTAATGTATGTCCTATCCATTTCCATCGTCTTTTCCTAATTTCTTCTTCAGCTGGAAGTTGGTTTGTTCTCTCCCACAGAAGGCTATTGCTGATGGTATCCGGCCAATGGATGTTGAGTATCTTGCGTAGACAGCTATTTATAAATACTTGTACCTTCTTGATTGTGGTTGTTGTAGTTCTCCAAGTTTCAGCTCCATACAGTAGAATTGCCTTGACATTCGTATTGAAGATTCTCACTTTGATATTGGTTGAAAGTTGTTTTGAGTTCCATATGTTCTTCAATTGTAGGAATGCGACCATTGCTTTGCCGATCCTCGCCTTTACGTCTGCATCCGAACCTACTTGTTCATCGATGATGCTTCCCAGGTATGTGAAGGATTCTACATCTTCCAGAGTTTCGCCATCAAGAGTGATTGGATTGCTGTTCTCCGCTTTGAATTTGAGGACCTTGGTTTTCCCTTTGTGTATACTGAGGCCTACTGATGCAGAGACTGCTGCTACACTGGCTGTCTTCATCTGCATCTGTTCGTGTGTACGTGATAGGAGGGCTAGGTCATCTGCGAAGTCCAGATCGTCTAATTGATTCTGAGCTGTCCATTGTATTCCGTGTTTTCCTTCAGATGTTGAGGTCTTCATAATCCAGTCGACCACCAGAAGAAAGAGGAAGGGAGAGAGTAAACAGCCTTGTCTGACTCCGGTCCTTACTTGGAATGCATCTGTCAGCTGTCCTCCATGCACTACTTTGCACTGTAGTCCGTCGTATGAGTTCCGGATAATATTGACAATCTTCTCAGGAACTCCGTAGTGTCGAAGAAGTTTCCATAATGTCCTCCTATCTACACTGTCGAATGCCTTTTCATAATCAATGAAGTTGATGTATAGTGACGAGTTCCACTCAACTGATTGTTCGACGATGATCCGTAGTGTTGCAATTTGGTCTGTGCACGACCGATCCTTTCGGAATCCAGCTTGTTGATCTCGAAGTTGGGCATCTACCGCATCCTTCATCCGGTTCAGCAACACTCTGTTGAAGACTTTCCCTGGTATTGACAGTAGTGTAATGCCTCTGTAGTTTTCACATTTGCTCAGATCTCCTTTCTTTGGAATCTTGATGAGATGTCCTTCTTTCCAGTCCATCGGCACTTGTTCCTCCTCCCAAATCTTTTTGAATAGAGGGTAAAGCATGCTTGTGGTTACTTCGACGTCTGATTTCAGTGCTTCAGCTGGTATGTTGTCGGGTCCTGCTGCTTTCCCGTTCTTGATTTGTCTGACGGCCATTCTAATTTCTTCCGTCGTTGGTGGGTTGACATCTATAGGAAGATCTGTGTGTGCTGCTTCGATGTTCGGTGGATTCATTGGAGCCGGCCTATTCAGGAGTTCCTCGAAGTATTCTACCCATCTGTTTCGCTGTTGTTGAATTTCAGTGATTGGCTTGCCTTCTTTGTCTTTGATCGGCCTCTCTGGTTTACTGTATTTCCCTGATAATTTCTTCGTTGTATCGTAAAGCTGTTTCATGTTTCCTTCTCTAGCAGCTTTTTCTGCCGTCGTTGCTAGTTCTTCAACGTATTTCTTCTTGTCGGCTCTAATGCTTCTCTTCACTTGCTTGTTTGCTTCTATGTATTCAGCTTGTGCTTGGACTTTCTCTGCTCGTGTTCGGCTGTTGTTAATTGCTGTCTTCTTGTTCTTCCTTTCTTTGATCTTATCCAGTGTTTCTATAGAGATCCATTCCTTATGATGGTGTTTCTTTAGACCCAGAACCTCTTGACACGTTGAAGTCAATGTTTCTTTGATGCCTTTCCAGTTGTCCTCCATGGTAGTTTCTTCTTCCTTCAGTAGATCTTGAAAGGCTTGGAACCTGTTGTTGAGAGCTATCTTGAATTCATTGAGTTTGACAGTATCTCGAAGGAGGGCTGTATTGAACCTTTGTAGTGCTGTTTGTCCACTTGTCCAGTTCTTTTTTTAGCTTCAATTTTAAATTGGCTACAACTAGGTGGTGATCTGAAGCTACGTCAGCACCTCTCCTGGTTCTCACATCTTCCATTGTCCTTCGGAATTTTTTGTTGATGCAAATATGATCTATCTGGTTCTCTGTAGTGTGGTCCGGTGAGATCCATGTAGCCTTGTGTATACGCTTGTGTGGAAATATTGTGCCTCCTATGACCAATTTGTTGAATGCACATAGATTTGCAAATCTTCCTCCATTTTCGTTTCTTTCTCCCAGTCCATGTCGTCCCATGATATCTTCATATCCAGTGTTGTCTATTCCGACCTTGGCATTTAGATCTCCCATCAGAATGGTGAGGTCCTTTCTTGAGCATTTCTCTATGATTGACTGCAGCCGCTCGTAGAATTGATCTTTAATGTCGTCGTTGCTATCATTGGTGGGTGCATAACATTGGATAATATTCATTAAGATCCCCTCCTTCTTTGTTTTGAATGATGCTTTGATGATTCTGGATCCGTGGGATTCCCATCCTACAAGTGCATTTCGTGCTACTTTGGACAGCATTAGAGCAACTCCCTGAGTGTGTGGAGCATTTTCCTCTTCGTGACCGGAGTATAGCAGCATCTCTCCCGTAGCTAGCCTCTTCTGTCCAGCTTGGGTCCAGTGGGTTTCGCTGATTCCCAGTACTGCCAAGTTGTATCTCCTCATTTCCGTTGATATTTGACTGGTCTTCCCGGTTTCCCACATTGTTCGAACGTTCCATGTACCTATAAAAATTTTTGCTCTGGTTGTTAGAAGGGGCATCGGCCTCGTGGCTTCCGAAGGAACTCGGCTTTCACCATGAAGCGTCATAATTCTTCTAAATGAAGACCTTCTAACTCTCAGGGCAGAGTTAAAATGGTTTGAATTATTTTTTCTGGCAAGCGTTTTTTTAGCGAGTTAGTTTTCTACGGGATGGGGACGCTAACCCCATGCCCAACCCTCCTCCTTTACCCGGGCTTGGGACCGGCAGTTTAGTTGTGGAGCTGATTATGAAGTTGTTTTAAAGAACAATGCAAGCTCCACAATTCAACCGTCTAACTCAGTGAAATCAACGGTAGTAACAACAATTACAACAAAATCATTGTGAAGATTTACATTCAGCTCAAAGATTTAATGAATTCAGTAAATTAGTATTTAAAATATTGAAATTAATCCAAATGATATGAATTGTTTTCAGAAGTAAGAAACACAATCATTGGAAAAAAGCTTCGTATGTATTTTTTATTATCAGTGAAATTTTAAAATGTGTCTTGAATCGAAATCATGAAGTGATCAATGACAGACCAATATTGGAATCCTGGAAAAACTGGACGACCGAGTCAACTCAACACGAGACTACTCACCAATCTCACCACACGATCCTGCACCCGGGAATTGAACCCAGGACCATCGGTCATGCACGAAGATGCTTAATCTCTAGAACACTGACTTAGCGTCCAACGTTGTGATGTCTGACTTCAATCAATCCACGACTGAAGGCCCTGGGTTCGATTCCCGAGTGTGGGTTCGCAGATGCGTACTAGTGAAGAGTCCCAAACTAGGACTGAATGGACGTTCACTGCTTCCAAATTTCCAATGGTGATCTGTCATTGATCGGTTCATGATTTAAGCGAAGTTGAATCTCCACAGCCCTATACTGACAAGAATAGTGGGTATTCGCAAAAATAGCATTTTACTTCAAGGTATCTTGAACTACCAAACAGTAAGAAATATGCTTAACGTTCCATAAAACTTCTTTTGATTGTGTATATATACATATAGGAGATATATGTGAAAATGTGTTAAAGTACTATGAAATTGTCTACCACTACTACTACTACTACTACTATTACTACTACTAACTTGGATTCTTAAACATATTTCTAACTAAAGATTGTACAGATCCGGAACTTATTAAACAAGTATTTCATTTAATTCTGGGTATTTCATTAATTTAATTTATGTGTATATGTGTGGTTATTGTATTTTTATTTTCTTTTGTAAAAGGATGCCCGGTCAGTGGTCTAGTTGGTTAAGCGCCTAGCGCGAGACTGATAGGTCCTAGGTTCGAATCCCGCGAGGCAGGGTCGTGGATGTGCACTGTTGGGGAGTCCCACAATAGGACGGAACGGTCGTCTAGTGCTTCAAGGTTTTCCATGGTGGCCTAGCTTCAATTGACTCACGATCTCAACTGTTAAAATTACTACAATCTCCACTAAACCCCTTCTAATACTAAAATGAATTTAGTTAAATACTCTATGCGGAGAATCCTATATTGAAACATTTATTGAATGAAGTCAATAATAATAATAATAGTACCTATAATAACAATAATAATGACGATAATACTGATTCACATTTACCTTTAACTTCCATAAACCAGCAGCAATTTCACCCCAATGTACCACTGATGTAAATATCATTGATCCTTCACCTGCATATGTATCTAATTTTCGTTGACCTAATATTAATGCGTCAGTATTTGATGGACTAATTAAACGTATCTCTAAACTTCCACGACAGGAATGCTTCCATTTAACTTCAAGAATAGCTTGTTCAACAATGTCTACCTGACATGGAGTATTTTCTACAATATTCTGTGGTAATGAATATTGAGTCAGTCCAGATAAATCGGTCAAATTGAAATCAATTATGGTATCGGAATGAGATTTAAGTGGCCTTTTCAATAATAAAAAAACAGACAAATTAATAAATTAATTAAAATTAGATAAGTTGGTCACGAAACTAAACTAAAAAGACAATTTTACAATGTTTTGTATTTTTCTGTCATTAATATTCAAGTCTTAAGTTTGAATTATTCGTTAACGTATGTACATCCTGAATGAAGTCAAGGTATATCCACCAAATACGCAGTAGTATTTACTGTGGATTCCATTACTAGTTATAATCAAAATATACTGAAATTTGGTTAACTTTACAATATTACAGTAATTCATAAATGATATTTCGCCTGTTTTCCTAGACATAATTCATAATGAATATTAGGGGTTCATGGGAAAAATATGTTTTGAGTTTGGTAGATAACTGTAAATTGTCAAATAAAACAAACCGATGATTAAACAGTAAATCAATATTAATATTAGTTGAGTATTATAATATACTACAAATCTACTGAAGTTTTTAATTTGATCCATTAGATTCTGCTCTAAATTCAGTTTTCTGAGCATATAAATTTCACATTCATACTGGGACCTTTTTAGTTAATATAATCAGGCAAAAAACAGTAGAAGCAAATGAGTGATTAACAATTATTTGTGGTGAATAAATCTATAAAAATGTAGACTATCACTCTTTTTGTCATACGTTCTTCAAATTCAATTGTGATATACTTGAAACTGTGATAGTTTCTTAACATTATCAGTAGAACAAAAGATTTTGGCAATGTAATCCAAGTTATTTGCTAGTGATTAATTAAACTGTATTTATGTAGTAAAAGCGTAAGCATGAAACATTTGATATACTATAGTTTTAGCTGACTTCAAGACTTTCTTCACCTTGGAAATCTTCGACTTTGAACAGTTTCCCAAAGTAGCTCACACTTTGATGTTGACTTCGATGTAGTTTTGTGAACTGTTTATATGGCAGTAAACAATATCGAAATTCGAGAATTTGAAAAAAAGGATGGAGAATTTAGCAAAAGTTTATATGTTTGACCAGTTCAATTAGGTAGAAGTATGAATAGGCTGAGCTTTGAGCAATTCTCAAAGAGCTCATTTAAATAACAACAGACAGTTAACAACTGACTGAGATTACAATGAATTTTTATAAAAATGATATTGTAGTTTTAAGTGAGTAAGCATTGAAATCCATGTTTTAGTGTATCACGTATCATGTGTTAGAACCCATAGAGCCGTAAGTTATATGATGCCATAGGATATTAACCCATTAATAATTCAATTACCTATTTGAACCAATCAGTATAAACAAAGGTTGAATATATATATGTCAATTATACATTTTCATTCAATAATTAACTGAGACACTCAGTCGTTCTTCTGGAAAATTTCAATTCTAACAATGATTAATTTAAAATTACACTTTTCATAACCATAACTGATCTAAAAAGCCAATTTATAATCATTGCCACCCGTTGAAAAAATCTTATCAGTAGATAAGTTTAGTTACATTAATTCAGTGAAAATGAAAGCATAATAAACACTAAAACAAATGATCAATCACCAGCTTTGTGCATATTCTGATTTATACTGATGAATAATTCCTGCTGAACATTGGTCATCACATTGAAATAAATGTTGAACATTATTCGTTTTCTTTTTACCCTGTAAACTAGCCCAATTGTCTGGTACACTATATACTTCTTTTTTATAAGTTAAAACACATAATGGTCCGACAAAATTCCATTGTTTAGCTAATTTCACTAGACGATAACAATCAATTGTTCCAAATCCAATATATGGATGATGAAATAGTCCAGCACCATTGACTAACCAACCTTTATCATTGGGATTAGGAATACGTGAACTCCATGGTAATAAGTGTGATATATCGCGCCATGTTAATTTAGGACTAGTATATAATCAAAAAACATTTTTCCATTAAATAGAGAAAATAATCAGCAACGAAGTTTAAAAAGGTAATTCTATCTTATGTATGATATTCTCTTAATTTAAAAGTAGACTAAATACGAACGAAATATTTGGTATGATGCAGAGGATTTGTAGCTCAGGTGGATGATTTAGGTGGCTTTGCTCTCTGTTGTTTACAATGACAGGTTAAAGGCCAACAATAACCAATCAAGATCAATCTCTACGGGACAAGCTGTGAGTCATATATGGAGAAATTCGAAGACTTCGCTTCTAGTTGAAGTTTGTTTTGATGATGCTGTTCAAAAGAACAATAAAAGCTCGACAACCAAATCATCCAGCTCAGAGAACAAAACTCTACCTAAATATTTGGTCTACAACTTTTCATACTGTTGAACTAAGCTAAACAGATAGATATAGACTATCTGGTAAAAGTGGTATGTCTAAGAATCAGTGACAATGTCACATGTACACCCAATGTTTGTCTTCCCTTAGATCTTGAGTTTTATAATTATTTCATAATTTTTATTCCATAAATGGATTCTTCTTTCAGTTTTTCATACTACTATTGGTACTATTACTACTTCCACCATTCTGGCATTTCTTTTGATAACTTCAACTTACTAGTGGGACATATTGAACTAATACATATATGTACTAGGTTCTCCTGTGTCTATTACTGATTCATATCTTATCAAAAACTTAAAGAGTCCATGTACCAGTACTACTCGTTAGTCTGACCATCATAAGGCATTTCTTCAGTTCAAAGTAATGTAATTTATGATTATTAATATGACGAGTATTTTTGAAGTATTTAACTTGATATATTTCTATAATATCTCTGGCTTAATAGCTTTCTTCACTGTGAAACCAGGTGGATTGCTAATTTGACTGGAAGAAAATATAAAGTTGACAGTTCACAGTTTTAAAAATCAAGCATAGAAATTATGAATATGACATTATTAGAATCAGTATTTATAATGAAACATTAATTTCCATACTTTGTTACTCTTGTTTTAATAAGTCCGATGGTTCAAATGTTGATGTCACTTTGTTAAAAGTGTAACACATTAACCTATTGTCTGATATTAAATGAGAATTTTGTTGGTATCAAAAATCCCTATTTAATGGCATTCAAAGTTCACTTAAACCGATATAATTCAGACAAACATTGAAAGTCTAAAAGCATTAGACAACTGTTTCGTCCAAGTACAAAATTATTCATTAGTGATCATCCACGACCTCACGTCAGGATATCGAATCCATTCCCCTCAGTTTTGTGCACGAGCATTTGACCTTTACACCAATGAGTCAAAATCCAATAGTGTTCAAGTCAAATTTCAATCAAAATTATGATCGCATCCCTAAATTTTGACGGTTCTCCCACGGATTAAGAATTGTTGTGACTAGTTGTAAACTGGCGTGAAACGCGAATTCAATGCCTTTTGATTTTCATCATATATTTATGTAATGCCAAGGAAGAAGACAATCAAGGAAAATATGCAAACAGAAATCACATTGTTGTGCATAACAACCAACCAAATTCCAGATCAACTCAAATTTTGGAGAAATTCTAATAAGTTATTTCTTTTTGAGGGATATGGTGATAAGGTTGCGTAATAAAATAACTAAAACTTCAGAACTAAACAACTCATTAGATAAAACTGAACATGTTTCAAACAATCACTCCTAACTATAGATATTGTGTATAATATCCTGTATAAAACACCATGAATGATACTGACTTTGCTCAGTTATTTATTAGTCTTGTTGTTTTCTTTCAGCTGTAGCCTTTCTAGGGTTAAAGGCTGTCAGAAGCTCTGGTAAAGAAAGAGGGATAGGCATATAGTTACTAAACCTATCCTTTAAAAGGACCTTGCCAAAAAGAACAACTGCAAAAACCATCGTTCTTCTTTCCGTTTTCTTTTACAACTTACTTTGCTTCTAGTGCCAATGCTAAACATCCTGCGAACATTGGAGCAGCTGCTGAAGTGCCCATAAAACTCTTCATACACTTATCATTTTCCATTGTAGTAGGCTACAAAACGAAATTTTTAAATTTGTTATTATATTACTACTATTAATTTGACAGTGAAAGTTATTTCAGTACATCACATTAATGGAAATAATTCCAGTCAGAGCTCTTCTAGTGTTACTGCCAGTCCGAATTCCTGATAAACAAAGTGGTTTAGGTTTGAAATTATTGGCCGTATCCCAGAAAAATAAATCTCGCCAAAAATATCGTTGATCATATTGACGAAAATGACCAAAATATTGTTTATTTTGAATGCTAAATTTTATATCATTAAAAAGATAATACTAGTTACACCGATCCTGTACATTCGGAACAAACATCTCGATTTTTTTCAAGACTAATCGGCTTAAGAAAAGATAACGCTGTAAGATGTTCAACGAACAGTTTAGTCGAAAATTTAGTAATAGTCTCTGTGATGTTTTTGCAATGTTCAACGCTAACAGAACGTTTTAAATGAGGTTAGGAAATAAGTATTTTGAAAGTTGTAGTTTAAAAGTTAAAGGTTTGCATTATTGTTAAATGAATTAAACTTTCACATTTCTAGAAAAGAACTTAGGATGAATAACATAATCTACAAGAGATGTTCAGTTGAGTTTGCTTCTATTACAGAATAAAAATACAATGATAGGATTCAATTTCATTGTATAAGGATAATAAAAAGGAAATCATAGAGAAATTTGAGTCTAGTGAACCGGTTTACTCATAATGGTGAATGCACCAGTAGTATTTTCGAGAAAATGATAATTTCTAAACTACAGAGTGCGGACTAACTTGAAGAGTTGTTTTTCACTTCGTTAACTGGTCATTAATCAACCTAATAAGTAATGAAACATTTTAATTGTCATACGTCCACATGCATTTACCGGATTAAATGCTCGCACGAAACTAGTAATGCTAGACAAGTAAATTTATTCTAACTTTTTGCTTTGTTGGTTGAATGAAGAACAGATAACTGATGATCAGAAACTCCGTTTTTCTACATTTAGCTGATACTCTATCATAATTTAATGTGTAAAGATCACACTTCATGTCATTTATGAAACCCTAATCGACTGACACTTTGATTCAATATTTTTCCAAACATAAATACATTGCAAGTTATAATAATCAGCATAAATCAATCTAATTCATACATTCAAATATATTACTGTAGCCTTTTTTCTCTATCTTGATCATATATTTAATTGGAAGATCGGCAAAAGTAACTTTTTCATCCAGATATCTTATTTTTACGTACACAATGTTTAATAATCAGGCAAGCTGTTAAAGTGTTCACAATACTATTCTGCATGATGAACCTATTCATTCTCTTTTTTAACTATAAACGTGCAACTAAGTTAATTTATCATCGGATTTTCAAACACCACCTATTTACAGTTGTGCAAATTGACAAGCAAAAAACAGTAAGAGGAACTGTTCTCTTGCATTTAGTCAACTAATAGTCATCTAACTAATAACAAGGTAGTTTTTAAGTAGTACTCACTTAAATTGTAATATAGATATAGTCATAGGAATATACATAGACATACTTAACACTTATGATTAAAGGAACGTTTGTACGATATTTTTCACTAATCTGATCATTTATATAATTCTATGCATACGCTTACATTCTATGTTACTTTTATTATACATACACAATCAGTTTCATGAAATAAACGATTAGTTAATTTATTTGGTAGTCGTTTCATTAACAACATACTGTCATTTTTCTCTATAGTACTAACATATGATACGTGTATTTATATTAGTACAGAGTCCTTAAGAGGACCGATTTGGAAAGAAGTATTTCTACACTCAGTATGTATTCAGATAAGTTAGAAATATGAATCAAAATATTGTACATCAATAGGATGAATATCGTTTAGTTAACCATGAAGCTTGAACAGGTAAGGATTCAATAACTTCTTAGGTTTATAAGTATATACTGATGGTTCGAATTATTAACCTTAGATTTTCATTACAATTCATCAATTGAAATTTTAATTCATAATATGAATCAATTTCACATTGAACATATTACTCGCAAATCATACATCAAAGTATGATCTAAACATTCACTTAAATATGTATCAAATATTTAGGTTGTTTTCATTTAATTGCCAATTGCTAATGATAAGAGTCGCTTACATTAACTATGATATACAATAAAATTTAATGAATTCATTATTCATTTTGAAACAATACTACTACCACTACTACTATTACTACTACTACGACTGCTACTACTACTACTACTACTACCACTACTACTACTACGACCGCTACTACTACTACTACTACTACTACTACTACTACTACTACTACCAATATTACTACTACTACTACTACTACTACTACTACTAATAATAATAATAATAATAATAATAATAATGGTAATACTAGTAATAATAATTTTCATATTATGTTGTCAACCGTTTTTTTTCTTATTATTAAATCATTAAAAGCTATAATTATATAAATTAATTTTGTTAGTTATTCACTGAGTTATAAAAAGTTCATATTTACTTTGTATTAACTATATGGATTAATTATTTTTTAAATTTCTTTTTATACTACAAAGAATTGCAAATACTTTTGCTCAAATATTATTAGATAGTGTTCATACTATTATCTAGTTACTGATATTCAAGTGTCAATTATAATCAATTTTAGGTGGGATGGCGTATCACTATATGAACATTAACATTAGAATGTAAAGTATACAGTTGAGTGTAATAGATATAATTCTACTTTATTTTGCTTTACATATATTTGATTTAGTAATTGGAAATAGATTTCAGAGATGTACAAGTATTTGAATATAACTATCTTAAAAGTATAGTTTATATGCAGTGGAATCATTGGTTAAGTGAAGTTAGTGTTGAGGACTGGAATTCAACTTGAAAAATGTAAGTTAGCTCACCAGGTTAACAAGTTTTTATTGACTAAGGTCACTGGAACATATTATAAGCACACTTAGTCAATATTTTAAAATTAACAATAAAATGATATCGTTATTCGATAAAATGATGTCAACTGCTCAATTCATTAATCCAAATTTTAAATAATATCGAGGTCGTAAATGAGATCCTTAAAGGATTAGAAATTAGATACGATAACCTTTTGATTTCTTTATCTGGAAATAGGCAATAAATATCACAGTTTTTCAGCGAGATATCGAACTATGTATAATTTATTACAACGGATAGGATGTTATATCTCATATCTAAATATTTGCGACCTACATAAAGGGATATTAATCGACCATAGACAAGTAGTATTTCCATTTACTTTGAAGGAATAAGATAAAAAAAATACATGGTAACTGATATGGAGAGCTCAAATTATGCAGTTTTCGTTATTACATGTTAGTCGTTGCCTTAGAGATTAACCTTTCTCAACATTTTTCAATTTCACATTTCCTTCAGTATGCCTTGGTTTTATCTGGTTGGCTATTGCCCTTCTTAGTTTTCTAATTTGCTGTGTCTCAAGGCCATTGGCTAATCCTATCATAAACAGACTGGTTCCATTTTAATTTTTTAATTTTTTTTTGTGAACAAGAAAATCTATCCTGAAAGTTCTATCTTCCTTATATTATATTAGGGTGAAGATCATTGGCACTGAACTGCTGTAGTTTGTCAGTTGCTATTCAATTGAGTGCACCATGAAATCTATTTGTATTTGAATAATATCGATCGTTTGCAAGTAACAGTTACCGTAAGTTTAAGTGGAAATCAAATTTATAACCATTTTTATTGATAGTTAAAAATAACACGATTAAAAGACAAGAATTCGTTGTTATTATTATTATTTACCAAAATATTCATATCAGACATTTCAGGTGATCCACCAACAGGAACTGATACACGGATTGCAGAACAAGGTTCTGAATACATAGTTTTTTGACCAAGATTATCTACTGCTGAAACAGCAATTACATCCGGTGAACTGACAAATCCATCAGCACCACAACTGTCACCGGACAAACCACCATTTCCAGAAGCAAAAATATAAATTGAACCTAAACCATTTCGACCCTATCAAAGGTGTAGAAAATCAAATGAGTAGATTTTGAATAGATTTTTACTACAATTTAACAATATTATAACAACAATTGAAAATAAATTTACAGATAATAACATTATGATAGTGGTATTCGTTATAAATTACTGTTATTAATTGAAACGATAAATTGATCTAAGTCAGACCAGCATTGAAAGCTTGGAAGCACTGGATGGCCGTTTCATCCTAGTATGCGACTCCTCAGAAGTGCACATCCACGATCCTGAACACAGGATCCAAACTTAGGATCTTTGATCTCGCGCGCGGACGTTTAACCTATGAACCACTGAGCTTACCAGCATCCAACGGTGTTGATGTTTTAACTTCAATCAATCCACGATATTATACAACGATGTTCCATTGTGTTCGGTGGGTAACTGCTTCACATTCAACATGGATGAGCTACACTGGTTACCGCTTCTTAATAAAACTCCGAGAATTATCTCTCGAAGTTGTACATCACTGAGGACATGATAAATGTCAATAAAGTTCATGATTTCAATGAAATTCAACAACCTTCACAACCCTTTACTATTATTAACTTACTATGTGGTATAGACTTATTTACTTGACTTAGAGTCACACTCAAGGTTCAAGTACTAGAAATACTAATCGGTAAACCAAACTGAGGTAGGTTAAGTGAGATTTGGACCTACAACTAAATGGTTAGACGTTGAACGTCTTAACAACTATGCCATCGATCAATGATAATAGTAGTCCTGTTTATTACTGAACTATTCAGTACTATAACAAATTGCTATCTTATGTGAATTTAAATCAACTCCGCCTGGAGTCCCTCCTGGGGCTTCTGCTGGTCCCAATCCTGGATAAAGGAGGAGGGTTGGGCATTAGGTTAGCGACCCCATCCCGTAGAAGACCAACTCGCTAAAAAAACGCTAACCAGAAAAATTATGAATTTAAATCCTACATAATCATAACAAATATGTATTGGAACATATTCAACAATGCTTAACAGTCATTTATCTTCATTCTTAAACGTTTTCTTTAATACTATCTCTTTTTCATAGTATTACATATCTAAAATATGAATTCTATTTCTTCAAAGAGTAAGTAAGAACATAAATATTTCAACGACCTCGATGGGTGAATAATAAATGAACTGTAGTCAATAAGTATTAACGAATGAATTTTGATTAAACGATCTAGAATTATTACGTTTATCAATAAAGTTGAAAGTTTTCTAATTCCAGTCGTCTGTATAATTGTGGCTGTCCAAATATAATAAATTCTTAACCGAGAAAGAAATCATCGTTCATTACTAGAAAGTTTTCATATGTTACCCAGTTAGTGTCAATTTGTAATGAAAAATGACTTCGTAGCAAACTGCATCGTTACAAACCGCTTTACCTTAATGAATTGTTTATTATTACAATTGTCTGATTGATAGGAAAAAGCAAAGAACGTCCAGAATAGTTGTTAAATATCATTCTTTTTATTGATAAAAGCTGTTGTGATTGAAATTCTTCTCTACTTTCACTACACAGGAAATCACTGAGCATTTATTCTATTTCTATATGTTTACTTTTCAATAAACATTAATCTAGCCTTACATAAATAAACCTATCTGAGATTGCCATTATCGATTGTGACGTGGCTTTAACTACAAGACTACCAGTTTGATAGACATTTGCCTTTTGAATGAGTAAAAAGACTCAACTGTTGTTTCGTCCATCTATATAGCTAAGTAGAATATTCGAATACCATGTAAGAAGAGAAAAACTCAAACCGAATATATAAGATGTATAATTTTGAGAATATATATATATATATATATCAATTAAAAGTGCAAAGTTACCTTTGCTAAACCATGACTTAATGAATCTTTTGCATATTTATGTGGTAGATCCATTGTAATACCATCATCAGATGGTCCCCATGATGAACAAAATATATTGATTAATTCAACTTTATACGATAAACCTTTAGCTTCTACAAAATCTGTAACTGGTCCAGTTAACATGCGTATACCTAGGAGGAAGTAGTAGGAAAGAAAAAAGTAACTGTATTGTAATACTGGATGATCAAAACCACTATAATATATATTAAATTATTAACATATGTATATGTATATAGTTTACATCATCGACTAATCTTAATCAGATAACGGTTTAAAAACAGGAAGCACTAGGCATCTACGTGTGACTCTTCAGGGGTGCATATCCATAGTCCCACCATAGTGAATCGAGTGGATAATTATCAGATGAATATTAACCTTTAGACCATTAAATTTATGTCAGACGGTTTACATTCACAAATTTAGTCAGTTTTGTGGATTTGTAAACTACTACCATGTAATATCATCGGTTATTTCGTTTTATTTCCACTAAGTGTGAGCTTAAACCCTACCAATCCAAAACGGAATAAGCAACGTAAACACTTTTCTTGATGGTATTTTAATTTAGTGAGTTTAATTTTATGTCATCTTATATTCATCAAACAATGTTTGTATGCTAAATGAAAACTTATATTTCGATAGAACAATGAGAAGACGGAGTTGATCTGAAAAATGTGATGTATTTGCGCTATACATTTCGAACAATCTGGTCACACATATACTTGTCAAGGCATTTTTATATGAAAATTGTTTGTTTGACCTTTATTAATTTTCATATAAAAATGCCTTGACAAGTATATGTGTGACCAGATTGTTCGAAATGTATAACGCAAATACATCACATTTTTCAGATCAACTCCGTCTTCTCATTGTTCTATCGAAATTTATAAAAGGGACTAATTGCTTTGAAAACTTATATGCCAGAAATTACCATTAATTTTAACCTTTTATTATGGTAATGTTATAATGAAGTGTGAAACATATCTTACTGACTAAATAATTAACATCAAAAAGGCATAAAGAACATTGTTTAATTGTAACTTACCACCTAATTTAGTTTTTGGTGCAACACCGTGAGAACAGAAGCTGTTATTAATTACTGCACCAGCAAGACCGGCACATCTTGTCCCATGTCTAAAAGATGAAATATATATGTATATATAATTTAACTCAATTTAGTTATTAAGCAACTAGAATGAACGATTAAAACTGAATTTCAGTCTATCAAGACGTTATGTCAATTAGACTTAAAGTCTTGAATTGTCTTTACTGAAAATAACGAAGAACAGAAACATTAAAATAATTAATAAAATATCACCCTGACTAATTTAGGTTACACATCAAATACTCTTTCCATAAGTTATTAAGCCCTTAGCATAACATTATATATGAAATGGTGAACTCATAATAATAATAATAATATTTCATGTGAATTCTAACAGATAAAAAAATGAATAAGTTATGCATTGGTATGGAATCTAATACAGTTTAACATCGGTACACCCCTTTTTAACATGATGGAAAAAAACAGTGTATTCCTATTATGTAATTCAGAGATTAAATACAGTGCCATATAGAGAAATTTGAAAGATACGTCTTATATTAGGGCTAATCAAACTACTTAAGTGAGTGAAGTGTGGTAGATAGGATTGGGTTCGTTTCTCTAACCTTCCGGTTTATATTCTGATAGCAACTCAACACTTGGCTGATGATCTGAAATACAGAGTTAATAAACATATGAAAAGAATATATTTATATCAATTTGAATTATTTTATATATCGATTTTCTTTGCTGCTTGTTTTAATGAAAGTGTAACAAATGAATTATTACATAATGGAATTCGACAATTTTTCACACCAACATTTAATCATTTACAAGAATATTTGTCAGTTGTACCATGACGTGGAGTACTCTTCAGCAAATTTTGAGTAAAAGTAGTAGTTGTTCACGAAATAAACGGATCGATGAGCCGCAAGGATTATCACTCTTATCTATACTCTAATCAGTACGTTTATTTATTTCATTATTAATATGTGAAGACACTATCCAAAATGATAGAAAAAAGCAGTCATTATGTGATAAGTTAGTACCTGAGATGATGTCACCTCTGTTAAAAACTATCTACATGGAAACTATTCTCGAAAGAGTAATTAGAAAATAAAGTTTTTCTGTATAATATAATGAATTTATTTCTTACATTTCAAACAATCTGATCATACCTTTATGTTTCAAAATATCAAGTTACTAGAAATGTTTTGTTTGAGTAAACGGCGTTTTTTACATCAACTTTGTCTTTTCACCACAGTTTTAAAATCCGTAAAAGGGACTAATAATTAAAAAAATATTGTTTTGTAAATATTACTCTTATCACTATGTGAAAATTGGTCAGTCGATGAAGATTTGTGCAAATATGAATAAATTTACGGTTTATCCTATCACTGACTGTGACGAATTACAAAATCCGTAGAGATTTCTCAGTAGTTAATAAAATGAAGAATAAGAGACTACGAGAAACTACATTTTAAATTCTGACCCGGTGGTTGAGTTATAACGTGCTCGTTTCAAAAAGGAAACTAAAGGTCTTCACCTCAATTCGGCATATAATTCCGGATGGATATCATTGAAACAAAGCAATATGGGATGGAACAGTCCTTTAATATTTACTGATTATCAATGATTATTATTAGTTTGTGATAATAGCAGTCACTAAAATAGTGAAAACTACTTAGGAATAAAGTTTTTAAAAATATTAAAAACGGAAAATAAGCATACACTTACCCATCATTCTCAGGAATAATTTTGCGTGGTCCACGTGGACTTAACCCATTCTCTTGCGGTCTGTCCATATTAACAGATATCGTCTCATCGTAATTGGCTTGTAAATCGGGATGACTTGTATCCAATCCATCATCTAATATAACAACATTTGTTCCTCTGCCAGTGACATCCTCCAAGAATATTGGATATAAATTAATATCAAGTCCAATCAAAGGACTAACACTATTACCATCATTGAGCTGTAATTTAAAAAAGGTGTATTAGGTATATATAGATTATACGAAATTATTGTAATAGACTTTGAAATCTGATTTTTCATAAAGTTATTTATTATATAACAAGAAATGGATATTGATCAACACCAATATTTGGTAATGTTATATAGTTGACTCGATATTACTGTGGACTTTGTGGGAGTTTTAGTGGAAATAGACAACGTCATGAATCTAACTTCTGTGTCGATGCATAAACGCAAGTCCTTAACCTTTTTATTAAGATTGTATTTTAAATTAACTGATTTAGAATTTGCTAACAGTCGTGGCTTTGAGCTGATTAGTTAGTTAGCTCGCTAGATAAATAGATTGAAAGATAAACAGATAGATAGATAGTTGCGATGCTTGCATGAAACAATAATTCCATTGTACATTATTTTGCTCTTATTACGAATCGCAAACTCATTACCTTTGATAGTGTTCACAAAGTTTACTGTGACTTGAATACTGGTCCATACGTGGCTATTGAAGTACGAATTTGACAGTTTTGTGTATTACTAGTTAGCATACTAAACTCGATTACTTGTAACTATCATAGTAGTTCAATCGTATATTCAAACTTTTTTAAAAACTGGTCTATACATAACATACAAATACATCCAACATATAATCACTTCAGTTGATAGAAATATTAAAAGTTTCCATGAATTGAGTTAATATTTAATAACCATCCAGTTTTACATACACGTAACTCTCCACAAAATAAAAATGTAAAGTGGTTAGTTTGAATTTCGGCTCCTCTGCACAAATTAGTCGTTAACAGAAGCCTTAGAGACGGTTTCGGTTTTGTTTTCAAGGTTAAGCATGTGAACTTGAGTGGGAAACGGATGATATAGCCAGAAGTTACTTTTTGGTTTACCAATGTACCATTAACTATGGAAATTGACTTTGTGTGTCATTAACTACTTGAAAAACAGATCAATATTGGAAGTTAAAAGATTAATTTCAAAGTACGTGTTTTGGAATTTACAACGAACGCTCAATTTTTCTTTACTAACACATATTGTCGACAAGTTGATGTAACAGTGATTGATTCACATCTCGGTTCTATCCCTGCTGAATTTTTCCTGCAAAACTAGAAAACAGACCTCTTAAAAAGGTTATTGATAAGCTTGACTTTTATTGCCGTTATACTGATGAAACTTTCATTATCGTTGATCAGAAAGTCAGAAAAGAAGAACTCTTATTTTAATTTGACAATATACACTAAGCAATCAGATTTACTTGTGGGGAGGAACTTGATAACAAACTACGTTTACTTGACGTTTTGTTAAACAGAAAAGAAAGTGGTTCTGTCAGTAAAAGTGTGTAAAAAAAACCATTAGCAAGCCATGACACATTTCTTAAACTTTGTACCCATTCTTTACAAGAGAAACTTAGTGAAACATCTTTTAAATAGAGATAGAAATATATACCCAAACGTCACTATAAACAAGGAAGATCCAGATCAGATTTCGTGTTTAGATTTGTGTAATAAGAACAGAAGGTTTACGGTCTATGTTAATCCCTTTCTAATAAGCTTCTGTAATTGTCCAGTCTTTTGTTAAATGAGTCAATCAAAGGTGTGGACAACACTATCTCAAGTATCATGCTCCAGGAATTGATGAAGTAGAGCTTATTCATAATATGTTATTTGAAATGGATTATCCAGAAGGTTTTCTTATGAAACACTCAAATGTAATCAACAGGAAAGCAGTTAAAAGTTCCCTTCTTGAACATCTAATCGACTCTAATCACTTCACTGTTCCACGGGTTGATTTTATGGTTGCTTATACAATAGGTGCAAATCTATCTAGATTTCTTCGTATCCAACTGCTTAAAATAGCAGAACCTCTCACCATTCATGAACTCAAGCCAAAATGGTGCGTACAAAAGAATGAAGTCATATCCTTATCGTTAACTTGACCTTAAACTATCATCGTTATTATTATTATGATCACTTTTTCATTTCGTATTTGAAAATATCCCCTCCCCTCTTTAATTATGTCACATATCCTCATGATTTTATTGATAATTTATCTCTAAGATCACTTCATTTCATTTTTACCCCTCTATAACCTATAATTATTTTGACAAAAAAATTTTATCAGAATGCGTTTTTTGGATATTTTAGGAAATTTCAAAGGTTGAAATCATGAGTCAATTGAAGCTAGACCACCATGGAAAACCTGGAAACACTGGACATTTTATTCATTTTACTTCATTCACATCATAATCCGTCGCTAGCTTATGAATTTCACAAGGCTTCACATTTGTACACACAATCTTTTATTGCTATTTTTTATATTACGTAATCCACTACATCATCCTGTTTATTCCTTGTTCATATGTCTTCACGGAGCTATTTAATTTGACAAAAAATTCATATAATCGTGTTTTTAATGTTTAAATGAGAAAATGATATTGTTCACTTATATATTTTGTTTTAATTTACTAAATGGAGATTTTTAAAATCCTTCTTCGCAAACAATACGATATCATGTTTACCGAGAGAAATAAATGGATTTGCAAAATGTTACTTGGATAAACTTACGTACTGCCATACATAATATGCTGCTGGATCATTTACATTTACAGCACTTCTAATTCTTTTGGCATATTCGATGTATTGTCGATTGTATTCAGCATCCGACTGTTTCGAAAAAATAAGTATATAACAACGATAGTTAATGGATTAGTTAGTTATATATCTGTTATGCGTAATACACAATTAAAAAGTGATAACATTCTTTGATAGATTTCTGTATGTTGCAATATAAAATTCTTATTAATTTTAGGCGTAGTGTTTGTCACAACGCAGAATTTCCAGAAAAAACATATGGGTACGATGACTAGTTTCCCTTGGTAGACAGAGATTCAGTGGATCGTATGGAAGAATTTACAAAGATGTTTTCGATTGAGATCGTATATAAAACCGAAATTATGAATATGATTCCGTTTTGTGATGCTTTCACTATCGAAATAGTGTACAAACTGACAGTTTTAAACTTGAAAACAATTACAAAATAATCGAACATGTATTTACTGCATTTTAATAGTGCGGTAGTTGTAAAAATACTTATTTATGTATTCAGAAAAGACCATAGTCAGTCTGTCCTTAGTATAAGAGTATCAATTTAATATCTTCGGTAAATATTTTCATTCAGTAACTCTCTTCTTTAATTTATCTTGGTACATGTGTATTGAATACTCTAGTGAATTCTTAACAAACCAGAATTTGCAAAGGTAAACAAATTTTCGACTTATAAACGTATTTCAGTAATAGAAATTATTTTAGGACAAATTATTCGGACAGGCATTTCTCATAGCTGGATGAAGTAAACATTGTTTATATCAAAAACTGACCGATAACTACCATATTAAAACATGCCAAGTAATATATATGTGAACTAAATGTAGCTTAACTAAATAAAGCCACCTAACAAATAAACATGTTTTGAATGGATCTTTTGAAATCAAAACCACTCTATTTGTTTTCATACACTAACAAGAGCCTAAATTTCTCCGAGGAAAAACTATGAAAAAAAAGATGCCTTCGTCGTTTTTATTCTGCGTTCAGTTAAACTATTTTATGATGTTCGAACTTAAAAATTTGTTAGGGTTCACACACATGTTAAATATTGAAAACTGAAAAAACAGACAACATTTAAACAAGACGTTAGTTTATATCTCTTTTAATTTTAAAACTTCTAAGTTAAATTCAAATTCACTGCTATTTGAGATTTGCTATTTATTGCCTTTAAATAGAGTACTATAGTTAGCTTACCATAAACTGTGAGTAAAAACGATAGACATGTAAATTTGTGCAGATAAACATTCTTTTTTGGATGATCAATATAAAACGCAACAGTTAGTATATTCTACCATTTTTCATTTTATTATTGGAATCAGAACTGTATGTAAGAGCATAATTTTCATTGGAAATTTTATTTTAATTATTTAGAGCTATCGACAGGATACTGCAGCGTATGCTAAGTTATCGGATAACGACAGTAAATAAAAGTTAAACGTCGAAATGAAAATAATGTTCTCGTATTTAAAATTTACCCATTAGATGAGTGAAGTATTATTAGCTATTGCATACATAGTGAATACTGAGGGTCAGTTGAGCTAAAACTTCATGGTTACATTTTCTGTTCCCATACATTATTTATCATGATATCTTGATTTTTATCAAAAACTACTAAGAATATTCGAATATTTATAAGTTGATTTTCAAATATGTTACATACGACCTAATAATGAAATTTTAAAATTTAAGCAGTTCATATCCTCTTGGATTCCTTGAGAAACACAGGGAACAGTGGCTTCATAATTTGACAGAAACGTTTTAGGTTTGAACTTGGTTTCACCTCATTCGGACTAGATAACTAGCTAACTAGTATTGTGGCGTGTGCTGCTGATGTCGACAGATATAAGTAGTATGTGTCATCGATCGAAATTGAAGTGCCTGGAGGCAAAAGGTTAAGAAGATCAAAGAAAAGAGAACGAGAACAAAGAACGACTAGTGTGAAAACGAAAGAACAATGAACTCTGAGACGATTGACTAACATATTGCAAATGAAATATTTAATGTATGGTTCTCAGATTTTACAAACATGTTCTGTAATTTTGTATTCATATACATCCGATTACTCCCACTTGTGTTCTCGTTCACTACAGTATCACTAAACTGGTGGCTCATTGATGAAGGCGTTGGACTTTTAACTATTAAATAATAGGTTGGAACATCACTCAATCTCTTTCTCTTGGAACAACTGAATAGTATGTCTATGACTCTCTTTAAATTTGGTTAGAAAAAAGTATGCTGGTCTCTACCTGATACTGCGTAGTTTTCCATTTCCTAGGTTCCGAAGTGTAAATTAATATGTTATGTAATAGACCTTTTACAATAATTACTTAATAGGAACAAGTTCTAGGTAAGACTTTATTTTTTATGACTAGTAATTAAATGCAGTTATATAGATCGAAGTTAGTGAATAGAGTTTAGCTGATAACTTAGTAATTAAATCATGAAATGTTTTAATCATTATATTAGATTGCTTCTCTACCTATCAGTTGTTTATTTATTCATATGTACATGAGTGGTGTTAGGTTTACCATCATTTGTCCAAAGTCCAATGAAGGTTATGTATTTAGCGTTTCCAAGCATTTCTTCCATGCATTTAATCGGTCAGAGATGATTATAAGTGCATAATTTTCACTGATGACTTCATATCACTCATTTAAAGATATCTACATATGTCTTTTATGAACACACCATCATAGGGCATCTGAAGAAGGGGCTAACAAAGAGGTCTAAGCTTAATACAAAATCCTCAGTGGAAATTATTCCCTCATATGCAATACTCATCCAGTAAATGAGCGAGATATTCTCAGAAAATGCTTGATAGAACACGCATATTAGAACGTTGAAAAGTGAATACGCTATAAATACATTAATGTGTATCCTACCTCCATGAAATGTAGTCTACATTAAATTATATGACAAGCATATATATTCATGGCTTAATCGAATTTCCAGTGGTAGTCTAGTAGGATAAGGTTATTTGAGCATTCTGAAACACGACGAAATCTCACTTTAACCTTATTAGTTTATATTATGTTAGTTGCCACTTTTTTGTGAGATCGCAAAATGTGATAGCTTGAGTAAACAAACCCTTGTTAGGGTGAATACATATTGGTATTTATTTATTTCTCAGTTTTGAAGCCTGTGTGTTAAAACTAAGCACAGCAGTCTACTAGCAAAATATAGTTCATGTTGGAAACACATAAAAAACGTTTTCTATCTATTACATTTATATTTCACGGGTGTGCGACTAAAGCTGAGTTAATATAAAGAAAGAGGATAATTTATTGAAATAATATTAGTTAACAAGATGTTCAATAATAAAGCAGTTCATTAATAAATCGTTGTAAATATATGCTTAAAAATATTAGGTGTTCTCAAATGTTTTAATTTATGGGTTGTGGAGATTGTAGTAATTTTAATAGTTGGACTCATGAGTCAATGTAAGCTAGACCACCATTAGAGACTAGGGAGCACTGAACGGCCAGTTCGTCCTAGTGTGAAACTCCTCAGACGTGCACATCCACAATCCCGCACGCGAGATTCGAACTCAGCACCTTCGGCTCCTCGCGCAAATGCTTAGCCTATAAACCACTGAACTTGCCAGCATCCAAGTGTGTCAACGTCTAACTTCAATTAATCCACGATGTCAAAACATTAACGCCGTTTGATACCGCAAGTACAGTGGTCAACAGGTTAGGCAGTTGCACGCGAGATCGAAGGTCCTGGATTAGAATCTCACGTGCGGGTTCGTGGATGTTCGCTTCCGAAGAGTCCCATACCAGGACGAAACAGCCATTCAGTGCTTCCAGATTTCCAATTATGGTCTTACTTAGATCGGTTTATGATTTTAATTATTTCGCATGTATAATTTCAGGATTTTTATTATCATATATCAAATGTGTTGATCTATCCACTCGATATTAAATTAACACAATTATCTAGGTTCTTTTCAAGAACTATTCTTATTATTTTAAAGAGATATGTAACTAAATTAAAATAATAAACGACCTTAATTTATAATGACTGATATGAATCTGACACTAGAAACTCATTAATATTATCCATCATCATTATCGTTACCCGCATATAAGAAATTCTAGCTATTTTCTATTGACTATTATCTTCATATTAGATGTTATCAATAATCATTCAACTTTTTGAAAAGTGCCCCCTAAAATATTGTCAAATTTTATAGTTTGTTTTATGGATTAATCTTAGTTAGACGAACTTTGTAGATCAGAAGGCGTTGAATAGATATTTCCTGTTTGTTTAAGATTACTTATTGAGAACTGAACTCATGACCTTCAGGTTAGGTCTTTGATTTGTACTCCTGTAGAATGGTTGTCTAAGATCAATCAATACTGTAAAATATGTAGTAATCTAGTTATTAGTAAGATGTTATCGGTATTCATTGTTGATTAAGTTATATTTCATTGTTATTTTTTAAATTTCTCTTTCAAGAAGGAATTTGTACAAAATTTTCTCAATGTTCTACTTTCCATCAGTTCTACGCTGTTTTATATGATCAGAATGGGGTTTGTGGAGATTGTAGTAATTTTAATAGTTGAATTCTGCCTCTAGCCATAATCTATCTATCTTATAAAACTTATGGCAAAAATGGTTATGTCAAGATAATACACACAAAATTCACATATAACAACTGAGACTAACCAATATCAGTGCTGTATATCAATAACAGAATAATTCAAACCTTTAATCATGAAATAAGTATTTCACTATGAGATTTTACATATCAATCGTACAATGAGATGAAAATTTAAAAATCAATGAAATTAAACAATAAAGCTACTTTGATGCAACTAGTAGACATGTATCTCCATGATTTTGCTAAGTTACTATGAAGAAAAACTTCAATTTATAGACTTAACATACAAATACGTTGAAAGGAAGGTGTTTACGTACAGATTAGTGCATTTCGAAAAATAAAAACAAATCTGAAATATACTCATAAATCATAAATAAAATAAAACAAATTAGGATCGATATTTTGTGTTCGGGATTCAACAAATTTATGTTTATTTTCATTTATTTTTTTATGATACTCATCTCCTTCTTACTGAACAAAGTATATATATATACTTAGTAGTTATATCAGTTTTGATTACATAACCGTCAACAAATGAATTTTGGCAATAAATATTTATTGATTCGTCATCAATATTGTATGTGAGAATGTATTTTACCAACAAGAAATGTGTTTGTGTTCCTGTTAATGTTAACTTTGTCGACACCTTTCGTTTGTTCATTTGGGCAAGTGATAATATTTCATGTTAAATTTAGAACACGTTTTACCTATGATTAATCTAAACACATTATTTTAAAGAAATGATTTATTTTTAATTTAACCAGCCAGTCATAAATCGAGTGGGATTTAGTAAAAATGCATGTTGGCTCACTTTATCGCATAGGATATCCAAGGATGAAGCTGACTCATGAACGGAGTGAGAAATAGAAAGAAATTGATCCTCAATGTTACCCTTTGTTTCCACTTCCCCCTGCTTCCTAGTGACACCAGTAAGTTCTTTAAAACATATTTAGCTAATACAACCAAAACTATTCACAAAATGGTTGCATTTGACTATTCTTCAAGTTTGCACTCAGGAGTTGATAAATCTTTAAATAATAATCTAGTTTACTTTTCAGTCGACTGACAGATAATTTCCATTTAAACATTAAAAACACGAAGTTCAGCGAAGAGATCTCTTTCCATCAAGCTATACAATCACATATATATGAGAATTTTTCACGTTATAATTTATTAATAACTTATTAAGTCTATTGTCATCATTCAAATTACGTAATCTAGTACTTTTCAGTCATTAGAAGAAGGCATGTTTTGCGATGATATGAGAATTGAGGGTTTAGTAAGTTACCATAGATTTTTTAACACCCATGAAATTGGTCTTTCACTGAAGGTAGATAAACATGACAACTAATGGATGTCAACTCGGTGATTGAGGGACTAAGCGTTAACCAAGATACTTTAAGGTCCTGGTTTTAGTCCTCCCTGGTGAGATTGTGTATGCACACTAATGACGAGTCCTATACTACAACAAACCAGTAGTCATACGCTTCCTGGTCGTCCGTAGTTGTTTAACTAAGGTGTTAACTACAAAATGTAACTATGACCAACTACTCATTTTACTCGGTTTACATAATTCAACTCTAAAAGTGTAAACTCTACAGTACAAAATTACATTCTAACGTATATATAAATAATGAAAAAGGTTTTGGTTCTTACCTCAGTCATCATTTCTTTGGGTAATGGAGTCTTTTTTAAACTTTGAGCTACTTTTGCATCGAATTCGGAATTGTATACGGTGAAACGTTTTTGAACGTTTAGGATCTTTAGTTGTTTAATTTCTTGAACCTGCCAATCCAACAAGAAAAAAACTACTGATTAGCATCTATAGGTAAACTAATAAATGTGAGTTGATAGTTTAATATAATGCTGTTCAACAGTGCTAAACATAGAAGTCCTTATATTCATATAGAATATTCCATTGAAAACCACCGGTCAGTGGATAGTATGAGAGCGTTTCACACTATAGATTCACAACCTTGACAGGGATTCATACCAGAATTGATGGTTCTTTTAGAGTAATTTAATTAAGAAACAAAAATAATAAGTTTGGTATTTGTTAAGACAACTAGAAAATATCACTTATTTATAGTATTTGAATTCAACGTACAAACAAAGTATATTATAGATTTCTAACAAGACAAGTAATTAATAAATATAACGCTGTAACTTCTAGATAATCATCTAAATAGTTGAAATCATGAGTCAGTTGAAGCTAGACCACCATGGAAAACTTGGAAGCATTGGATGGCCGTTTCTTCCTAGTATGAGACTAATGCGACCGTCCAGTGCTTCTAGGTTTTCCATGATGGTCCAGCTTCAACTGACTCATGATTGCAACTATTGAAATTTCTAAAACTCACAAAACCCCTTCTGATATAAATAATCTGACTTATCATTACAGAAAAATATTAAAAGAAAATAATTTTTCAACAGTTGAATGAATGTATGATTATTTGAATAGAATATCACTAGATTTTGTTTGTTTATTTATGTGGAGTAAACATTAAACTATATAAACTATGCACTAAATCAGTATACAGTATGATGAACTTTTCAAACTAAATATCATGCTGTGTATGTTTTAATTGTGCAACCTAATTAGGTTTTTTTTAAAAAAGTAATATAATTATACATAAATGAACAATTGAATTGTAGATTATTTAAATCTGCAAACGAGTTTCAATGAACTCAAGACTAGTTAAAAGGATTAAATTATGAATAAATTGAGAAAATTCATAATTCTGGTTGATTTAAATCCAATTGTGTTCAATAATCGAGGCAACACTTATTGTCCTTTTAGACAAACATCATCAATACATACTTTAAAGACAAGTAACCTAATAAAAATTCTGTCAATGCGACTAATTTATTTGCATTATTCTACTTACAAAGACTAGATTTATTAATTTCTAAAGACAACCACTGTAACAGAAGAGTCTGCATCAGTAAGCCTAAACATACACAAGGGGAAAACCAAGATCCTCAAATACAACACGACGAACACCAATCCAATCATACTTGATGCAGAAACTCTGGAAGATGTAGAATCATTCACATACCTGGCAAGCATCATCGATGAACAAGGAGGATCAGATACAGACGTAAAGGCGAGGATTGTCAAAGCAAGGACGGCATTCCTACAAGTGAAGAATATATAGAACTCAAACCACCTGTCAACCAATATCAGAGTCACAATCCTCAATACGAACGTCACGACAGTCAGTTCTACTGTACAGATCTGAAGCGTGGAGAACTACTACAGCCATCATCAAAATGTAGTTCTGATAATCTTCGTCTTCTTATTACATTATCGATGTTTATAAACAGTTGTCTACGTAAGATACTCAATGTCCGTCGGCCGAACACCATCAGCAACAGCCTACTGTGGGATAGGACAAACCAGCTTCCAGATGAAGAGGAGATTGGAAGAAGACGTTGGAAGTGGATATGACATACATTGTGAAAATCACGAAACTGCATCACGAAGCGAGCGCTATCTTGGAATCCAGACGGGAAGCGGAAAAGAGGAAGGCCAAAGAACACATTACATCGGGAAATAGAAGCGGATAAGAAAAGGATGAATGACAACTGGAAGGAGCTGGAAAGGGTAGCCCAGGACATGTTTAGATGAAGAACGCTGGTAGGAGGCCTATGTTTCTCTAACGCGGGGTAACAGGCGTAAGTAAGATGATTTCAGTTAAGCTGAAATAAAGTAAACTTATTTGAGGGCATGATATCTGCTGAACTATGAATCTAACAATTATGATGCATATATTCAGAATGTTTAGAATAATAAATATGACAATTCAATCGGCAACGAATGCTATCGACACAATTGGATTTAAAATAAACTCTTTTGTGTCTTTTCTTTATTGATTAGGAGACAGAAAACTCGAGAATGTTTCCTTTGCATTACTATGGTAGCTTTCTTTAGATAATAAGGAATACCATAAAAGAAGTAAGCTAAAGCACAGAACTATTCATAATAAAAGAAATGATCTATGCATTTTTATTCTTAAGGTATTCAAAATTCAATCACTAATAAACTCAAACGGTATAACACATTGATTGAAGAGAAAAAATAACACTATCAAATCATCTCAAACGATAATGAAATATTTAAACATTCTTTTGTATATCTAATGTTAGCTATTTATTATTTCATGATACTTGAAATGTATATGTACAACAGAATGTACTACTTAAAAGATTGAATCGTTAATCAATTCAGTAGTCAGTCATAACACCCATCAAATTGTTCAGTATTTCTTTTCATTTTCTTTTTCTTTTTCGAATATTCTAATGTGTTCACTGAAATTATTGTAAATGGTTTTGTTCAATTTGTTTAATCCTATTTTCTTTTCTTTTTTTTAAAAGAAAAATGGTTATTTTGTTTAGAGTTTAATTGAATTAGTTTTCCGTTAACTAGAATAATAATTGAGTATTTGTTAACTTATTTAATAAAGAAAAGTGTATTATTGGTACTGTATCGATTTTACAGAAGAAAAAAAAAGAGAACAATATGGTTCATGTGATGAGAAAAAAAAATTAGAAAAAGAAAGCTACTAAAGATGAACAAAATAGAATAGATGTAATAATAATAATAAACATGAACTCAGTAGTGTTCCTGTGTCAAATTGTGATAGGTAGAATTTAATCATGTTGAAATGGAGGTAGTTGTGTGATGATTAAGGAATATTGTGAATTGGTTGAAGTTTCATGAGAGGCCTGAATGTTTTATGTTTGATCTTTAGTAAGATCATATCTGTGTAAAGGTGTGGAATTATTCACTAGACGTGAGCATCTATCCAATACTCCTGGTTTTTAATGATTGATCAACTAAATTCAGTCCTTGAAACAAACTATGAAATTCAATAATCTCCACAATAGCCATATACTAAAAATTAAATAAGCAACCAGTGCTTGCTAGGAGAGGGGGGGCGTGCGGAGCATTTGATCAAACTAATATCGGAATTTTCAAGCAATGTTTTAATGGTGACTAGTAATCAAATCCTCCTATTTGCGAATCGTCCGTGAACTCCAGTGTTTCTATTTCCACCTGGACAGGAATATTAAAACTAATAGTAGTTGATAAGGATTGGTGTCAAACTAAACAATATATAGTTTGGATTTGACTACAAGTGTTCATGTTTCTTAAATCAGAATCCATTATAATTAAGAAGTAAACATACAGCTTTGAAAATATATATCAATTTTTGTGGAAATGCCTTCTCTAAGCTAGATATGTTTGTTGTGAAGCCTTCATTATCTCTACAAATGGCATAATCAACACAAATTTTCAATGTAAGCAAGCTCTTTGAACTTCTTTAAATATCCCTAACAGCTTTTCCTGTGGACATTTAATTTTAACCACTATTGCTGACACTTGACCTTTCATTACATATTTTCAAAATACCTTCACTCTTAACCAGACGTAACTTCGAGAACACAATTCCAGAATAACCTTCCTAAACTACGGATATTTCACACCACACAACAAATATTTTTCAAAAATCTTCCAGCCGAAAATTGATTTATTGCTAGGATGTAATACTAAACAAATGTAAATTTATCAAATCTTTGAGTTTAAGATACAGGGATTTATATAGCAATGATAAGAACACACCGAGTTAAGCAAATAAACTTCACTGAAAAGTTTGATAGATGTTCCGTTCCTTTACGTATTTCTACTCAGCTATCACTTCTTTACGTTTACTTGTAGATTATGTAACAAGAATTTATAAAATTTCATCAAAAATGATTTATCAGACCAATAAACATTCAAAGGAAACAATCTAACTGACTACGAAAGTTTGAAATTACTCCACTAGATAACTAATGAATTAGATAAATAATTGCTTAGTATAGACTTTATTTAACTGTAACCATAGTTCATAAATACCTTTTAAAATAATAAAAAAACACTACGTAATAAGGTATAAAAAGACTAAACGAGATGAGGTTTGTATACATTATGCTAATAATCACCTGAATATAATTATGTTATTTAATAACAAACATTTCTTATTTGATGATGATGATTTCAGTTACCATTTCAGTATACTCAAATAGTTGGAATTAATACAATGATTATTTTTACATTCATCTTAAAATATTCTGAGAAATGAACTTACTGAAAATAGACTAAAATGTAATAATAACGACACTTGTCAGTTATATAGTGTAGTATAAACTCTTGAGAAAAAGTTCATATTCTTTAAGTCGATGTTTTGTTAAATGATACAAAACAATGAGAGAAAAAGAAAAATGATACTGCATGAACCGTTTAAGAAAACAACTGAGGAGTACAATAAATAACTACCGGAGATCTGTAACTATGCGGTCTAGGAATTAACTATTCAGTCAACAGACCAAATGTCCTGTGTTAAATTCATGGATTCGCGGTCGTGGATGTGCTTAAGTGAACAGTCTTATAGTGGGACAAAATGGTCGTTCAGTACTTTCGAGTTCTCTAGGTAGGATCATTTCGTAGTTTTAACCACGAAAATATAGATGTAATTGATTTTTACAACGAAATGTTTATAAACTTAGTTACAATCTTTTTCCTGTATTCGTTTTTAATTTTATGAATGCATTTCTTAATCATTTTTACATCATTATCCCACAGTATCAGCATGTATGCCAAGTATATTAAACACTTTCTTATAGCTGTATGTTGAAGCGTTTGAACTTTGTGACTCATAGTTAATTAAGAAATCAAAGAACTCTAACAAGCTCTAAGCTACGGTTCGAGAATCTTAACAGTTAGATTTTTAAATTTCTTA